GATCAATAGTTGGCTGCATAATACTATTGATCCCCAACTTCAACCTTTTATCAAGTGTTTTGAAACTGCAAAAGGTCTCTGGGATGATCTCAGCGAGCGTTTCTCTGTTGCAAATATCCCGCGTGTCTTCCACTTGAAGGCTACACTTTCCTCCATCAGACAGAATGGTACTTCTGTTATAGATTATTATACCAAGCTTCGTTCTATTTGGGATGAACTGGAGTCTAATCGATCCCTCACAGCTTGTTCCACTGGTGCTGACTGTGCTTTTTCTAAATCTGTTACTACTGAGGATGACAACAATCGTATTTATCAGTTCCTTATGGGTCTGGATCATACTACTTATGGTAGTCTTATTACCCAAATCCTCAATACCACTCCACTCCCAAGTATCAATCGGGTGTTCTCTATGGTAGCTCAAGAGGAAACGCACAAGGCATTGGTCCGATCTCAGGATTCTCCTTCTGATGCAATGGGATATGCAACGCCTGGTACTGTCTCCAAAGAACTAGGAGATTCTTCCAAACCTAAAGTCACATGCACTTACTGTGGCAAACCTTATCATGACATAACAAGATGTTATCAGCTGATTGGTTACCCAGATCGCCCCACTCCTGGACGCAGCCCTCCTCCTGGACGAAGCCGTGGTCGTGGTCGTTCATCCACTGCACGATCTCACCCACAATCTGCTCGGGCTGCTCATACTTCTCTGCCTTCGGTTCCTTCTGAGCCGTCATCAGCATCCATCTCCATGGCAGATTTTACACCAGAAGTTCTACAACATCTCATGTCCTTGGCTGTCTCTTCTGCCCCTCCAGTTGATAAACTTACGGGTAAGATTTTACACCCATCTTGGATCATCGACAGTGGTGCATCCCAACACATGACGGGCACACTCTCCTATCTATCCAATGTGCATTCTATTTCTCCTTGTTCTGTGGGACTGCCGAATGGAGTTCATGATATTGCTACGCAATGTGGTAGCATTACTTTGGGCTCTTCTCTTCATCTCTCCAATGTTCTTTATGTCCCTTCGTTGGCTTGTAATTTGATTTCTGTATCTCAGCTTCTGCGCCAGTCTTGCTTGGCATTGTTTGTTAATTCTGTTTGTTTGATACAGGACCTAAAGCAGAAGAGGACGATTGGAACGGGTGTTGAACGAGAAGGGGTGTATATATTGTGTGCATCATCAGCTTCTGCTCATGTTGCCAGTACGTCAGATTCTGCAGCACTATGGCATCGTCGTCTAGGACATCCATCTTCCCGTTATTTATCTTTGTTACCTTTTATTTCCAATGCAAATAATTTGGCTCCTTGTGACGTTTGTTGTAAAGCCAAACAACCACGAAGTCCTTTTCCTATTAATAATAAACGTTGTTTACATCCTTTTGATTTACTTCACTGTGATATATGGGGGCCATATCATATGGCATCTACAACTGGTGCCCGCTATTTTTTAACTGTAGTCGATGATTTTAGTAGACATGTTTGGATTTTTTTGATGCGCAATAAAACTGAAACTTCCACATGTTTACTTCGGTTTCTCCACTTGGTTCGCACCCAATATGATGCATCTGTTAAGCGAATTCAGAGTGATAATGGGACTGAATTTTTGTCATCTGTAGTCCAAGAGGCTCTCTCATCCTACGGTATTCATCATCAATTATCATGCACTTACACCCCACAGCAAAATGGACGCGTTGAACGTCGTCATCGTCACATCCTCAACGTGGCTCGTGCTTTGCGTTTTGATGGTCACTTACCTATATCTCTTTGGGGAGAATGCATCTTGACCGCTGCTCACCTCATCAACAGGACACCGACTCCACTCCTTGGTGGTCAGTGTCCCTATGAAGTTTTGCATGGCACTCCACCAAAGTATGATCACTTACGGGTCTTTGGGAGTTTATGTTACACTACTGTTTTACCCAAACCACATGACAAGTTCGCTCCTCGCTCCCGTAAGTGTGTGTTTGTTGGCTACCCTTTCAACAAAAAAGGATGGAAGGTCATGGATATCTCCACTCATGAAATATTTGTTTCTCGTGATGTTTTATTTCATGAAACTATTTTTCCATTGGCTGCAACTTCATCTGCATCTTCTGTCCATGTACCGTCACCACAAGCTGTCTTCACCGATTATGATGTGGCACCTGTTACTGCTATTGATACTCCCACAGCGGAGCTTGATGACAGGGGGAGTTCGTCCTCCCCAGTTCCGGGTTCTATTACTTCATCCACGGATGTCCCTGGTTCACTGGTTCCGTTGACAGAACCCAACACTGCATCTGTGGCAGATATTCGTGAACAGCGTGCCAGACGTCCCCCATCTCATTTAAAGGATTATGTATGCAACACAATGACTACACCCTTTCCTCGTCTCTCCACTTCTCCAATCGACTCAGGTATTCAATATTCCATTGATCATTATGTTTCTAATGCATTATTTTCTTCGCACCATCAGATTTTTCTTGCCGCCGTGGATAGTAACCTGGAACCCAAATCATTTAAAGAGGCTATGCAATATCCTCATTGGCAGAAAGCCATGCAAGCCGAAATTGATGCATTGGAAGCCAATCATACTTGGCAAATTCAACCTCTCCCTTCTGGTAAGAAAGCTATTCCATGTAAGTGGGTGTACCGCATCAAGTACAATTCTGATGGAACCATTGAACGCTATAAAGCGCGTCTGGTTATTGCTGGGAACAATCAGATCGAAGGAGAAGATTACACTGAGACTTTTGCACCGGTGGCTAAAATGACAAGTGTGCGTACATTTTTATCTGTAGCTGTAGCTCGAAAATGGAGCATTTTTCAGCTGGATGTTCAAAATGCCTTTCTCCATGGCGATTTGGATGAAGAAGTCTTTATGCGTTTTCCTCCCGGTTTCTCCCAAACCAAGTCTGGTCACGCCTGTAAGCTTCAACGTTCACTTTATGGTCTCAAGCAATCCCCACGAAATTGGTTTGCTAAGCTTCGTAGTTCTCTCCTCAGTTTCGGCTTTGTTCAGTCTCGTGCTGATTATACGTTGTTCACTTACTCGACTGGTTCCCATTATGTTGCTATACTTGTCTATGTAGATGATATTTTGTTGGCAGGTAGTGATCCTTCTCTCTGTGACCGTGTCAAAGCTCATTTACAAACCTGGTTTAAAATCAAAGATCTTGGTCCCCTCAAGTATTTTCTTGGCATTGAATTTGCTCGAAGCAAGACCGGTCTGTTTCTTACTCAACGCAAATTTGCTTTGGATATTCTTAAGGAATGTGGACTTCAAAGTTGTAAACCGGTTGCTTATCCTATGGATCCCAATCACAAGCTTGCTCTTGCTGAAGGACCTCCGTTTGATGATCCTAAACGTTATAGACGTATTGTTGGCCGTCTTGTATATCTCACGATTACACGACCAGAACTTAGTTATGCAGTTCACACACTTTCTCAGTTTTTGCAGCATCCTATGCAGATACATTACGATGCGGCTATTCGTGTTCTTCGGTACATTAAGTCCAATCCTGGCCAAGGACTCCTTCTTCGATCTGACAGTGATCTTCTTCTTCGTGCCTATTGTGATTCGGATTGGGCTAGTTGTCCCTTGACTCGAAAATCAGTCACTGGTTATTTTGTTACTCTTGGACATTCTCCTATTTCTTGGAAAACCAAGAAGCAAAACACAATATCCCGCTCCTCTGCTGAAGCTGAATACCGTGCCATGGCAGCTGCGACTTCTGAGCTTATTTGGTTAAAGTCTTTTCTCAGCTCTCTTGATATTCCTCATGCAGCCCCTATGCAACTGTTTTGTGACAGTCAGTCTGCTATTCATATTGCTTCTAATCCAGTGTTCCATGAGCGTACCAAGCATATCGAGTTAGATTGCCATTTTGTTCGGGACTATCTTCTCAGCAAGACTATTTCTACTCAACATATCCCCACTAGTTCTCAACCCGCAGATATTATGACCAAAGCACTTGGATCCAAACAATTCGATTTTTTGACTTCCAAGTTGGGCATCTCCTCCCTCCATGCTCCACCTTGAGGGGGAGTATTAGAGTAGCATTAATTTGTTAGGATCCTGATTGTAACTATCACGGTTTGTTACCTTGTATATTAAAATAGATTAGCTTGATTTATGCTTTCTGTTCCTTAGTTTTAGCTGATTTCCTGATGTAAATAGATTAGCTTGATTTATGCTTTCTGTTCCTTAAGTTTAGCTGATTTCCTGATGTAAATAGATTAGCTTGATTTATGCTTTCTGTTCCTTAAGTTTAGCTGATTTCCTGATGTAACCAATTGTAAATCTTGGTCTATATAATAGACCCAATTTAATATATCATCTAGCTGCGAATGACAGCAACTTCTGTTAATCAACGACTCTGATTTGTAAACATGTGACACCATTGATCTTTTTTGATCTAACGACGTTCAGATGAGATGTCAAATTTTAAATTTGACACTAGTATCTAAGGATACTACCTATATATATATATATATATATATATATATATATATATATATATATATGAGGTAGGATCCTTTGACACTGGTGTCAAATTTAAGTTTGACTCCTCATCTGAGAGCCGTTAGATCCAAAAAGATCAATGGTGTCACATGTTTACAAATCAGAATCGTTGATCTTTTTGGATCTAACGGCTCTCAGAAGAGGTGTCAAATTTCAAATTTGACACTGGTGTCAAATGATCCTACCTCTATATGTAATATATGATTTTAAAATTGTAATATTTTTTTTTTTGGTAGGTGTTTTTTTAAGTATTTGATTCCTAAACATTTAAGATTAAGTAATTGAATGTTAATACTGTTTAAGATTTATCACGAATACAAAAGCTTATGTATAAGTTACAATACATGGTTTAATGTACATGCACGATTTGTCATGTGTTTTAACTTTCCCTCATTGAATAAAGATATCAGAGAAAATGGTAATTGTGATTTGTGTTTGATAGACTCGTAATTTTGATTGATACTAAAAAGACTCGAGAATTATACAGTGGGTATATGGCTCCGGAGTATGTGATGCATGGAAATCTATCTGTGAAGGCAGACGTATTCAGCTATGGAGTTTTGGTATTGGAGTTGATCACTGGCCAACGAAACTCCTCTAATTTTGATGTGGATTCGCAGAATCTGCTTGATTGGGTAACACTATTTTCATCTTTTGACTTCCTTTAGTTCATTTTGACGGTTTAGGCTTATTTATTGACATTTTCGTAAGTATTTGGAGATTTTTTTTTTATTTGATCCATTAATTAATTAATGGTGACGACCATTGATTGATTACCGCAGTTCCGCAAGACATTAAAAAAGAAATTAAAAATGGTTGAAAACTTTGGTTGCTGTTATGATGTTACTTGCACGTTCTAGAAAATATTAAAAAAATGGGGCACATAGATGTTGACATGTTAAGTTCACGCGTTTATTCCCATCATCACAAAAGGAATTGAAGAGTTTAATTTAAAAAAAATAAAAAAAATGAACATAGAACTCAATAAATTATGATATGAAACATTGCTAAGGATGTGGTGTGTGTGTGTGTGTTTTCTCTCTTTTGGTGGTTACAGGCATACAAGCAGTACAAGAAAGGGAAGAGTTTAGAAATTGTAGATTCGGCATTAGCATCTACGATGGTAGTTGAACAAGTAACCATGTGCATTCAACTGGGTCTGCTATGCATTCAAGGTGATCCACATCTACGTCCAAACATGAGACGTGTGGTGGTGATGCTGTCAAGAAAGCCAGGTCACATGGAAGAACCAACGAGACCAGGAGTACCTGGTTTCAGATATAGAAGACCTTCTAGGCAATCTGCAACATTGTCTTCCACTCCTGGTACCTCTGGTTCACAGACTACTGATTCAAGCAACAACTGTACCACTCTTACTACTACTGTAACAGGAACTACCTCAGCTACTGCTGAAATAGACCCGAAAGGGAAAGGGAAACGTCCAATGCATGGTTAGGCTCATTATTATTATATTTTTGCCACGCAATGGGTTCTATTATTCTTTTTTTGTAATGTAAGTACGGGATGTGATCTAACTAGGATGTAGATATTTAGAGGGTTAGGTCAGGAATGGCAAGTGAATTCTTATTCTTTCATATTTTATAAGTGAGGAGTGAGCTTGAAAAGTTAATGTAAGGTGCCGGATTATTATTATCACAAAATATATGGAACTATATATCTCAACAGAAATATTTCATGAGAATTGAAAGAAAGGCTTCATTCACCTCAAAAGCATGATTTATTATGGAAGCTGAATGGCACTTGGGCCGGTGATGTCTAAGTCTTGTATAGAGTGAGGCCTATTTGTCCTTATTCAAGTGAGGTTGATGTAGAACACTTTTTATTCAGTCATATATGATTTTTTATTTATTTATTTGTTTTTTATTACATGAGGTAACCATAAGTTAAAAATTATCCCACAAAAGGAAAATATTTTCGATATTATAGATGTGCCGACCACTCATTATATTTTTTATCAAATATAAAAAAATAATATATTTATACGACTCTTATTTTTATGGTTTATTTTTTTTCACATTTTTTTTTTCATTTTTGATAATGGAATATCTACTTCGTTGTATCAAAAATCCACTCCAACAAAAGGTACACTAGGAATAAGATGTAGAAAAATGTTATATTTATAAATTTTTTATTTACAAATTATATTACGTCTTATCAGTAAGACACTCTTGAAGTCTTACCGGTAAGACATAATGTAGTTTGTAAATTTGTAAAAAAAAAAAAGCTTATCAATATAACTATCCTCTAAGATGTAACCTCATAGTACTAAAAAGATAAGTCATAAGTGGCCAAAACTAAAATCAACTACGAATATTTTTTATTTTTGTATATATCATCTCCGATAATTTAAAGGGTTTAATGATTTTATTTTTATTGTAAAAAAATTTTCTTTACCATACTCACATAAAAGAGAGTAGGCCTCATTAATTTTTTTTTTTCTCTTTTCTTTACAATGAGACGCATTCATTTTTATGTCAGTGCGGCGAAAGTTTTTTTTTGCAGCAAAATTAAAAGTAAGTAATTTGTAAAAAAAGATATCACTCTAATATTTTTATTGTTATGTTAAAAGAAACTCTCAGATAACTTTTTCATAAAAAATTTTATTACTTATTACAAAAAAAAAATTTATTACTATCATTGAATTAATTCGAGATGGTACTTGAGTTGAGCCCCTTATAATAATTGCAATAGTATTTCCATGCGCATTAAAAAAATTAGAGTATAAGAAAAAGTGCACTAAAGAGATGATATAATGACAAGACATTTAAAAAAATGGAAAAATGTGTATCATTTCGAGGGATGTAAAGTTGTATCATTTTAAATGAGAGAGAATAGAAAAAATTTTAAATGTGTGAATCTTATCTTTCTGTGAGAGTAAACAATATAGGATGTATCGTTTAAAATGACACATTTTTTTTTCTTAAAAAAATTAAAGCCAAAATATGCCATTAAACGTGCTGTAAAACTTGACAGTTGCATTTTTAACATCATCTCCAATAAAGATAAAGTATGTTCTATATCTAAACCAACATTCTCCGTGTATAAAACGAGTTATTCTTCGGTTTACATTGAATTTAAAATAATATTATTTTGGACAGAAATTATCATATTTTTATAATTATAATATATTTCAGAGTTATAATAATTTTTTAATCTTTCAATTTAAATCAATGTTATTTTGGAAATAAATATAAGTAATTTATCTTTATTCACCGTAATAATATTAAAGCCATCAACAAAAAACACATTCTTCATGTATAATAATAATAATAATATTTGCTTGATGACTATTTTTATAATATATATTTTTAGTACAAATTTTTATAATATTTTTTAATTCTTTTGTAAATGCTTCAGCGTTTTATTTCTTCTGTGTTTGATTTTTATTTTTTTCATAAAAAGCAAATTCTTTATATTTTTGGTTTAGTTGTGTAATCTTAAAAGCTTAATGAAAATGCTAACAATAAAGTAAACACTTAAACAGGACTCTGGCTAGAACCCTAGAGAGAGAGAGAGATAGAACCATGAGACGAACTCTGCTGAGAAGTGCCTCTCTCTACACTCGGAATCTCCTTCTTCACTCTTCTTCCGCCACCGCCTACGCCGCCACCACCACCACCTCTCTCGGGGTTTCAACACGCTCCCGACTCAGGCTCTTCTCCTCCGATGAAAACCAGAATCCGATCGAGGACGTCGATAACAAAGGTTTCACTTTCTTTGATAAATGTTCATCACAAAAGTTACTAATAGTAATCGGAATTTATTCACATGCCGTTTTGGATGTTACATTACGATTCGATGATTTATAATGTATGAATTTTTTTTTTTTTTATGAGGAATTGATGTATGATATGAAATCAAACGCTGCGTGATATAGTAATTGGGGGTGTTGATGATGGATGTTTTGATTTGCAGAGCTTAAACTTCGGATTAGGAAATACTTCGACGAGGGTGATGAGAGTGTACTTCCATCCATCATGGAGGGCATTTTGCAGAGGAAGTTATCTGGGAAGCATGAGGAGACGGATGATGAGTTGATGGATGAACTCAGCAAGGAGCCCATTGATGATGTTGAAGATGAGGAGTTCGAATCCGATTTCGAGGATATGCATGATACTGATGAGGAGATTGATGATTTATATAATGCTAGGGATATTGTCATGAAGAAAATGATGAAAGATGAGTACTTCAACATGGATGATCGCAAGTGGGATGAACTTGTTGAGGATGGGGTCAAGCATGGTTTTCTTAAGGATACAAAAGAGTGTGAGGAGATTCTAGAGGATATGCTCAGCTGGGACAAACTCCTCCCGGGTATTGCATTATTCATTGTGCTGTTATTTTTATTTTTCATATTGTTTCTAAATAGTATATATTGATATTGATATATGGTTATTTCACTGTTATTAATGTGATATCTCGTGGTTTACTAAATGGTAATTAAAGGTTGGAGGAGAATATGAGGGAGTGTACTGTGTATCTTTAATAGGGGGTTATCATAAATAGTCGTTTTTCTAAGAATTTTCCCATCTATGTCTTGACTGTTACTCTTGTGTTTCGGTAATCAGTCCAGTTTTAATTTGGAAGGTTGTCATTAAGGGTTTGCTAAATTTTAAATATTAATATGTTTGTAGACATTTGATCTTATTCTGGCTTGTGCTTGACATTTATTGCATGTTGCAGCAGAAATTTCCTGTCCATGGATTTTATGTGCATTTGGTTCCATTGTCTGTGCATGTTTGAATTGAAATGTAGTCATCAACTGTCACTTTAGTGATTTGATTATCATTGTGCCGATTCTGCTGATTTTCATTGGTGTTAATATCTTTTCTAGATGAGATAAAACAAAAGGTGGAAATAAAATTTAATGAGCTTGGGGACATGTGTGAAAGAGGGGAGCTTGAACCTGAAGAAGCTTATGAACAATTCAAGAAGTTTGAGGACGAGATGGTCATGGAAACCGCGAAGATAATGGAAAAAGAGGAGGTCCCAAAGTTTGATGATACTGCTGTGCCAGACAAGAAAAAGGATTTAGATGACCCACCTGGTGAAGGTCCAATTCTCCGGTGGCAAACTCGAGTAGTCTTTGCTCCTGGTGGCGATGCTTGGCATCCAAAAAACAGGAAAGTGAAACTTTCTGTTACTGTGAAGGAGCTGGGACTTTCAAAATACCAATTTCGCCGTCTCAGGGAATTGGTTGGAAAACGTTATCATCCAGGGAGAGATGAGCTTACAATAACTAGTGAAAGGTAAAGTGCTATATGTATAAAAAATCATTTATGTAATATTCAATTTCATTACACTTGGATCTCTGAGCCTTTACGGAAAACTGGAAGCAGCCACAATTTTTATTTAAAATCTTCTTTTCCATATTTTGAAGGTTTGAACATCGAGAAGAAAACAAAAAGGACTGCTTAAGGACTCTTCTCTCCCTCATTGAGGAGGCTGGTAAAGCTAATAAACTAGTAGATGATGCCCGGGCTTCATATGTCAAGGAGAGACTCCGAGCTAATCCAGCTTTCATGGAGAGACTGCGTGCCAAGTCCATGAAATTGCTAGAATCTAACCAGGTTCCTGCTTGATGTTTTCTGGTCCGATAATGGAGTATACATTATAACTGTACCTCGTTTTGGTATTAGCTATAGTTTCGAAGATGACATGAAAGGTTGGGAATTGGGATTTTCTTTCAATGAATTTGGATTCTAGCATTGTAATGCTTATAATCCGGCTCCCTCCTTGATTTCGAATCACTTTATATGGTATCAGAGCTTCAGTGATTATAAGGTTACAAGTTTGATTCTTATCGCCCCTACTTTTTTGTAGCATTAAATAAGTAAGGTTAAAAAAAAATTGATCTGTGTAATATTCACGCTTTAAACTCAAAGGGATTTTGTGTAAGGGAGTGTATTAGAGAATAATATAAATTATTAAAAAAGCTTTCACCCAACGGCTTAAGTTTTTGGGTTGAATTGATTTTTTACATTGATCACGATAACGAGAAATTAAATTGATGAAAATTGACTTGGTATTGACTATTGAATGCTAGAAATATTGGTAGTCACAAAATTTCTCATGTGCTTTGTAACGCAGCGCATGTATAGTGTACTAAAAGCACAGCCAACCACGATGACCTGATGGTTGATATATCAAGTGGATAATGCTGGATCATTTCCACTGATTAGATTATGTATATGCTATATGCTGCGACTTCATGTAGAAGAGGGCTTGAGGGAGACATTATGGGGTAAATCCAATGTCGGTGAACAAGAAAGATGGAAAAGCATGCCAGAATTGAACATGGAAACTGTGGTCATGCTATGAAGAATTGAAATGCCTTGCTTCCATTTGAGGTCATCTAGCGTTTCCGTAATGTCACGTATAATATTGTTCAAAGAAATTATGGCCTAATACAATATAGAAGTTTCAAAGTAGATAAAAAAATGCAAACAAAATATGACTTCTTGTATTGAGTTTTAACTCGAGTTTAAACTTTCTGATTCAAGTTTGTTTGATTACAATTGTACCAAACTACACTCAAATAAATTCCAACCACAAAAATTATGGCCTCCGAAACTGGCGTATGGAAAGCATTGGGATCTTTTATTTTGGATTTGATAAATTTACCTCCAAATTTTAGCGATTAAATCTGCACAAGAGTGCCAAAAAAAGGAAAATAGGCTTGTTATGTAACCTGGCACTCTTTGAATTGAGCTGTGCAATTGAGGTTGTCTAGTCTTGGGAACGGCTAAGATTGACCTGGTCCTTTGCGAATCTCGAACGTGAAAACATCCTTGGCTTGTTTTAACAAATATTCGTTAATGATAAAAAGCGAGAAACTGAAGAAACAAGGAACGGAAGAGACGTAAAATATACTCTTTCAACAACTTGGTCCTGTTTAACTGAAAATTAACGAAGAAACGGAACTTTATCAAGGGATGCCTCAAAAACCATTCCTAGGAAGATTTCCATGCAAATGTTCAGAGAAACCTTGCTGCATAATCAAAGGTTGCATGTGTCAACTTCCTTAACAGGGACTGCAAGTACCTCATGTTAACTGCAGCAAACAACAGATATTCTATGATTTCATAGTGTCTGATACTGTAAAATGGGGAGCAAACTGGCCCTTAAAGACAAAGGAAACGCTAAAATTCTCAATAGGAAGAAGCATGACTGTAAGGATTGCTCATGTTCTAGTGTGGTCTCTCCTCAGCAGCGTGGTTCAAAATGCAAAGAAATATTGGTTGAATTTCTATGTAGTTGTTGCATGCTGTGTGTATGTTGCCCATTAGCCGCTGTATGTAGTTGCATCAAACTACCTTGTAGAGTCTTTCAGAAAGCACTGCGGATTGCCTGGAATTGGGCTTGTTATGGATCAAACAATAGATTTTTTGCTGATTATTCTTCCTTTTCTGACATTGATTAAGATGTTATATTTGGTAAAGGTTTAGCCTAGTGTTTCCCAGGATAGATTTCACCATTTTTAATGTGTATAGGCTGTAGCAGTAGCCTACAGCTGCAGCAAGTTTTACTATTTGATCGCATAAATGACCAAAAAATAAATCTAATTGTCAAGAATGGGATTCGAACCCATGCCCTTTCGGACCAGTACCTGAAACTGGCGCCTTAGACCAACTCGGCCATCTTGACTTTGTATGTTAATTTTGTATTCTATTTTTTATCATTATGAACAAACCAGAAGTTGAGCTTGACCCCCTCTATAATTACCTGGTAGGGGCAACTTGGGCCTATGTGTTCCAGCCTTTTCAAGGGAATGAATTAAAAATATGTAAGTTTTCACTTTTGATACAAAAAGTAGGCCTAGTTCGTGGCACAACAAACCACCCCCATAGTTTAATTAGTGCTTTCATGTTCAGTTCATCATCCCCTTTGTACAAATAGGGAACTTCAACATTTTGCCTATATTGTACTATTTATTAGCATTTAATCTCAATCATTTGAAGACATTCTTGATATAGAAAAGAAAAGCACAAGTTGTGCCTCTTGGGCATGCTTTTTTCAACTATTCTGGTCATCAAATAAAAATTGTGGAAGCCAACTAAAATGGCCTGCACCTTTGTCAAATTTAGGGAAGCGGCCGTACCTTAGATTCCCATAGACAAATCATGCAAGTGCAGTGGTCACTATCAAGTTTCATTTTCTTTAGCTTTATAGAATAAAGAAAGAAAAAAGAAAGTAAAGGTTCAAGCTAAAAAAAATGAACATAATTATAGGCCCCACTTCGCCACTTATATTAAATTTGAATGATTTATTTTGGTGTTTTGTAATTATCTTTTTTGAAATTGTAAATAGGGTAATAAAAATTGGGTTTTATGATTATTATGTTACATAACCCAACTTGATTTTCCTACTCACACAATAAAAAAGAGAGAGAAAGTGAAATGATGAAAGAGAAGGAAAAAAATGTGGACCCCACCTCTTTGATGTGTGTGTAGGAAAATGGAATTAGATTATGTCATATAATAAACATAAAGCCCATAAAAATTAGGCTCAAGTAGAGAATTATTGTGACTGAAAGGTCGCTGGTTCGATTCTAGGCAAAATAACTTGGAGTAATCATAAAAACCTTTTCCTTCTATGTCACGAAAGGGATTAATCTTATCTAAATGGGTGGAGAATCACATCCTGTGAAACCAAAATAAAATAAAAAATAAAATAGACAGTGAATACTAAAAAAGTTACATTATTCAAAATATTATATTTTATTGGAAAAAGTTCACCAATGCTTCTGTTGTTTGTAAAAAATAAAAAATCACAGGGTCATATATGATAAAAAAAACATACCCTTTTGCAAACCAAATGGACATATGTGATAAAAAAAAAATCACAGGGACATAAATGATTCTGGAATAAATCACAAGGGCATTGATGAACTTTTTCCTATTTTATTTTTCACTTTATAAATTTTGATATAGAATTTGTAATTTCGAATGAAAAATATCATTTTTTTTTTTCAAGATATAATTTGAAAATGAATCGCTAAATTCAAATATGAGGCCAACAAGGTTTGGACTTTGGTTGTTGGCTCTTGGAATTTGTCAAAGGTTGTCATCCAAGAACATGAATTAAATTAATATTTTTTTCTTACACTATAGACACTATAATTAATATTTGAAAATAAAAGTTTTTTCCAAATATTTGTATTTATAAAATTTTCTGTTCAAAATCAATTTCGTAATTAGAACAATTCCAATAACTCTAATCATAACTTAAACTATGTGTGGAACACTTAATGTAATTTTATTTAGACCATACGATGTTGCCCAGTGTGCCAAGTAGTCCCCTTAGACCAACAAGGCTTAAAACTCATTTTTATTATTATTCAACACTAAGCATCTCCACTTTTTATTTAATTAAGAAATTTATACTATTTTTATGGTCCTCATCTCCTAATATATTATAGATCTCTTCGTTAGCAACGCATAGGTTCAAACCGCCCTCAATTTGAAACACCGTAACTCAACTTATGAATTTTCTAAGAAAAATGTGCTGAACTCACAGGGCCAGCGCAAATAGCGCCACGAGACAAAGAATTTCTAGATTTACGGCATGAACAGCGCCATAAATACGTTTTTCCTCTGAATGTCGGCGCGGTTAGCGTCACCACGACACTAATAGCACCACAGGTCTGGAGATTTCATCCAACCATAGTATTTTACCCATAACTTGAGTTATACTTATCTGATAGATGCAATCTTGGTCTCATTGAAAAGCTAAGAAAAGATCTATAACTTCCATTAAGACACAAGGGTCTAAATCTATCATATCAGATATGAAAAATGGACAGCAAGACATGATATTCTTATATTTACATTGATTTTTAACCCCAAAGATTTTCTTTCACCTAATAGACATTATACAACCACTTTGATACATGATTCTTAGCTATTTCAAGACACATGTATCAAAATAGGCATCCATGCCCTTCCATCATATATATAATAAGTACAATATCCAAGTATCTTTAATACATAACCATGAGACTTAGCTACAAAACACTATGATCAAATCCTTGGCTCCCTGCAATAAAAAAAACACCAAAGGAGGTGAGCATAGACTAAGTCCACCAAAATAAAGCATGATGTACACATATGAAATAGCTTTCAAATGTAAATCTTATACATGAAAACTACTAAATGACATACATAACCAAAATAATGCAACATCCTCATGTATCAATCTAGTCCAAGTATGGCCACTTGCCACCAGAGGCTCATGCAACATCTGTACCTGAAAGGCGGTCCCCACAACACGGGGTGAGATATACGAATATACCTCAGTAAACCAGGGGTCCTTGGAGCATTTCTCCACCCCATAGTTCACTCACAATATAATAGCAATGATAAGTAAATAATGTAGTAAATGCATATACATGCAGTGTGTAAAAACATCTCCAGGAGACATCCCTCGAGCTCTCATGCTGTTCTAAGGATACTCATATGTAAAATAGTCCTACTAGCCAGCTAAACTACCAAATATGAATTACGCATCGTCATGCAACATATAAAACATAGGAAAACACCATCCTATGCCACACCCAGCGCATACACATACGTATAACAAAACATTAAACTACTTTATTGCATTTACATATACTGACAACAACCACTACCCATTTTGGGCTTGGTGGAACAATAAAATGATCAATTCTCAAGATTCGAAGGCTTACCTCAATTGCTTCTAATCTTAACATTTGTTCAACACCAATGAGTAATCAACTAAGCTTCACAAATTAATACCTACATTAAGGTATCATGCAATCCATAAATACAACTAATGAATATCAACATGTTCATCCACCACAACAACCAATTGCCAAACACTAGGCCTAAACTCACCAATTCAAGTGAGTTAATCAATCTTCATAGCTTCCTCCAATGGTTCCACCAATATCAAATTG